GAAGAAAAAAACAATAAATGATTAATGGTTTTTCATTAAAGGGCCACACCGGGATAATTTCGCCTGAGTGCTGAGGAATGTTTATCACCCTGAAGCCAATGTCATTAGCAGAAAAGTTCTGGTATCTTTAACACCCAAATTAATTTTGCAGTGTGCAACACAACGGATAACAAGCTGGAGACATGGATGCGTGTCTGCCGATGGTTGTGATAGTGAAGGCGCTTCTTGACTACAATTAGCGTACTAGCGCTACATTGCGCGCAGGCACTCGGCGCCTAACATCGGAAGTAATAACGCAAGGCAAGCAAATGGACCATGCCGATGTTCAAGGCAAACCGCTGCGCTGACACCCGCCAAACAAAGAGACGCTGCACGGACCTGCGCCCCCCCCACCCCCAAACATCAGCGATGTTGCCATTGGAAGCCCCCCCCTCGGGCTTCTCCAACAATCGCACACACTCGAGTGTTGATAAGCCTCGCACAAAGCGCGATGTCGGCTTAATCAAAATCAATAACGGCCCCCGGCAGGCGGGCGGCGTTCAAGAGCAACCGCGGCAATCACAGCAACATATTAATGAGCCCGGCGGAGGGGGTGCGGGGGGGAGAAAGGTCAAGGCTCAACAAAAGAATTCCTCCTGATAAATATTTAAGTTTGATTAACATGAGCAGCCCTAATTAAGTCACTCGTCTTTTGGCCCGAGAACGCCACGATGCCATCTTTCAACGTCTCGCGAGCTTGTAACACATATTTACTTGAGTAACATTTTGGAATTGCTCCACGTCTTGTTTCGCAATATTTGAACACAGAAAATATTGGAATACTCGCAGGCATATATTCTTTATCCTCCGCAACGCACTACTGGCTGTTTTTACAAAGTACATAATGAAAAAAGTATTATATTTAAGAGAAACGGCCAGCCGCAGGCGGCAAACGCAAACTGCAGCACGAAAAAAAACACGTCACCGCAGTGAAATAGCGTTTTTCCGCCCGTTCTTCACTCATGCGACTGGCGCGTTTGTCTTGCAAATGAGACGCTGACTTATGAATGCCGTTGATGAAGTCGCCGCCTCAAAT